CGATGGGCTGAATTGCACAAAACGCATGATCGCACCGGCTAGCCTGGTGCGCGTTGCCATTTATATTCATAATGGCCTGCACATAAACAGAAAACGTCCTCAGAAAAGTGTTGCTTCCTGTTCAGTTAGTTACCGAGTTAACTAGGTGCCAGCAGTGTCCTGAACTGAACACTCAGTTGTACGCGCGAAAAACCTAGGAGTGTTTTAAAGCTGAATTTGAAATTTTTAGCTCACGCAAAAACATAGAATATACCTGTGAAATTTCAACTTCTTACCCTGTCTGTTTCGCGAAATGTTATTCTGAATAAGAAGCGCTTATTCTGAAGCGGTGTTTTCTGTTTTATTAGCGGAATGCATCACTGATTTCCAGTTTTTGCCTTACAGGAGATTCGTATGAAATTTTCCGGAATTCTTGACAGTTAGTAAATGAATGATTAATTTCGTAAACTGAGTCCATAAATTAACGGATTAACAACAGGATTGACAACAATGAGCGCATTCAGAAAAGGTAACGTGTCCAGAATCAATTCACGGGTTTGCGCCCGAGTTGCCAGTGTATTCATCATTGCAAGCACGTTGTAAGGTGACCACAGTGTTAAATACGCAATCAGAATCATGGCTGCCTGTCGCTTCGCTATCTAAAATCTTTAGTTATACTTCCGGCACCGAAGGCGTAACGAGCAACATGCTCTGCCAAATGATTTTTTACTTTTTCAGGTCGGCCTATTTGCTGCACGCCTGTTTGTTCGGACACGGTGAGGATATTGCATGTTGTTTCGTTGATTTCCTGGGGAATGTGGTTCTGACTCTTTTGAGTGAAATGAGAAAATTCCGAGAAAAAAGTGATGAGATGTGGGCAATCTTGTTTACAAACAGTGGTAGCATTAGGTAAATGCCGGAGAGGGGGATTGCATAGTTTTGTTTTAGAATGCTTCCGATAGTAATACATCAAAAGTGGATAACTGAACTTTGATGCTGTAAAACACGCTAAATATAGTCAATTATTACTTCCGACCAAATGAAAAAAATGTTTTCTTCTTTTACACACACTCACCGTGCAGTTCCGCTCTCCTACTAATGCGTGCTGCTGCTTGATCCTAAGTGTTTCGCATTCAGAACTTTATCCTGAGAAGCCGCTCTTTTAAACTTTTTTTGCACAAATCCTTTCTGCTTTAGATCTTCCACACACTCCTCTTGCAATAGATTCTCATCTGCATCATGAAATCTACTGTGAAAATTCAGTCCGCCTTTATCGAACAGAGACCTAATTTTAGTCCAAAAATATTTTTTCTTTCTTTTAGAGGGAAATAATAATTGACGTATTTTATGACATTAGAGCTTCAATTACCAGCATTTTATGATGTATTGCAACTGGAAGCAGTCAAGAACTAAACTTTTTCGAGCTAACTGCATGACTGCTGCTGATTCCTGTTCCTTTGAGTGGTTTACTATCTGTGAGAATCAACCTCATATGAAGACAGGGTTGCTTATTTTTAGCTGTCCTGGCACTCTGGTTTGACCGGCTTTTCAGTGCAAAGAAATCTGAAAATTCCGAATACATGTTTGTTTTTTGCCCCAAATTTGCAGGCGTAAGTGTTTATAAACAGTTATGCCAGACAGATCTGTTCTGTCGTGCTCAACGGTTCTTGTTTATAGGCAGTAAACCGTTTGGAATTTTACAAGCTATTTACTTCATCAGCAGTCTCATCTTCAGATTTAGGAAAGCAATTTGTGAGCAGACTTTCTATCTTGCTAATCTTAAACTTTTTCTCGCTGCTACTTTGACTGATGTCATCTAATTCACTCTCATGCTCCGATGCTTTTGTGTTTAATAAAACACGCACATTAAGCCCCTCAAGCTAATCATAGTTCGAAGTTCGAAAAGCTTGCACATTTACTTCCTTCAGACAAAGCTTTGCCCGATATTACTGTAATGCTAAGAAAATTATTCTCTGCGAAAAACCCTGGCAATTCGATTCTATCAGAGTGTGGCGGCGCCGAACAATGTCCTCCCACGGGAATTCAATAAACCAAATTTTGACATTTGCCAGTACGAAAAGAATGAAATTCGCGCTAATTCTGTAATTTTTCTCTTGATTATCATACTGCAGAGACCCCTATTCGTTTATGTTTTCTGGCTAATACTGCTTAAAAAACAGTGCTGGTTACCTTTGAAGCCCTGGAGAGAGTCTGCAGTGCTAACGGGCCAACAACTCCTCCTGATTCCAGAGCATCAAGTGTGTCATCTTCCTGATTTTCTTGAGGCGGTACATAAGTGGTCATCCTGCAGATGCAATAATTTTTTCAATAAAATGTCACTTCTAGCTAATTTCAACAACTTTCCATATTTTTTATCATTATCCCAAGCTTAGTGTAAAAAAATAGCAGTTTTTTTTGTCGCCGCAAAATATTTGTCGGAAGGAAACAAAGAAAATCACACGTTCTGCATTACCGACTGAATAAATCCTGTTTTAGTGAGTGGTGGCTATGCCAGTAAGACAAAACTTATTTTCCTTAAGTCAGAAAAATTAATTTTTACTTGCATTTCCTTCAAAGAACTCTAGGCTGTAAATTTTTAAAACGTGCAAAGCGAATAAAGCATGCATTTTTAAAACTTTCCTTTTTATAATTATTATTTCTGTATAATGAAATACATATTATGCATACACAAACTGCGCCTTTTTATGCGTTTTTGCATATATGTAAATTGTAGAAACACATATTGTGAAAAGGCTGTCTGTATGTGTGTGTGTGTGTGCGTGTGTCTGTGTGTTCGCACTTTTTGTCACCCATTTTCAACTCGAGACCCACAAAAGCTAGGAAGCTGAAACTTTGGCGATATGTGCCCATACCATGCGCGACCCTCCCGTTTTAATATTATCCCCCTCGAACGCCTGAGTGCCGCGTACGGAAGCCTTAAAAAATATGCAGTTTTTTTGGCGGGAAAGCGATCTCGGGAACTACATGAGCTAAGGGGCCGAAACTTTGTAGGGATATT